GAGGGGTGGCGTGGGAAATGGGGATGCTCCCACAGCGGCCCTTTGGGGCACAGAGAGGTCACAGGCGGGGCCGGGCTGGAGACAGGGGCCGGACAAGGGACGGAGAGCCAGCTGTGGCCTCAGCGGTCCCCTGGTTAAAGGCGACGGGTGCTTGGAGTGGCAGGACCACAGCCCCGCCTCAGCGGCTCACCTGCATGAGGTGTGGGCCAGGGTCCTGTCCTGGGGGTTTGTGAGTCATGGTAGTTTGGGGGGGAGGAGAGGAGGGTCAGACTCTAAATTGGAAAGAGAGGTTTCTTAGCAAGAAAGTGGCAGCCGGTGGGTGAAGAGGTGGGAGGGTCGTCCGGTGGGAGGGTCAGGTTCCCTGCAGGTGCCCACCTGCGCCCCGACCTGGCTTCTGATGACCCGTGAGCCCAGCGTGCATGTGTGATGTCGCCTCCCGCGGGGACGGGCATCGCTCCCGTCGGCGCTCTGGGGCCTGACTCTGCGTCCCCTGCAGATGCGCAGCACCAGGAGGGTGTCCGTGTGGCCCGTGGCCTTCGTCGGGGGCCTGCGGTACGAGGCCCCGCGGGTCAACGCGGCAGGGAAGGTGGTCGGCTGGAAGACAGTGTTCGACCCCCACCGGCCCTTTGCCATAGACATGGCTGGGTTCGCGGTCAACCTGCGGCTCATCCTGCAGCGCAGCCAGGCCTACTTCAAGCTTCGCGGCGTGAAGGGGGGCTACCAGGAGAGCAGCCTCCTCCGGGAGCTGGTCACCCTCAGCGACCTGGAGCCCAAGGCTGCCAACTGCACCAAGGTACGGCCCCGGGGAACCAACAGCCCTGATGCGGGGTTCCCACGCCCAGCCAAACCCTCCCTGCAGGTTGGGGATGGGAAATAGGCCTGGAAACAGCCTTGCAAGGAAGAGCCAGCCTAGAGCCACACCTTCCGAGAACACCGGCCCCGAAGGCAGTTTGTCACCCCTGCGGCAGCCACACTGATGTCCAGCAGGAGATGGGGAGGGTGGTGACCGGTGAGGCCGAGCCAGGTGTGTCCCCTCCCGTGCCGCAGAAGAGCTGGGCTTCACGGCCTCCCTGCGATTACATGTCCATGTGTACACACATGGACAAACGCATGTGCACACACACACGCGCGCACACACACACACGCACACGCACTTCCTAGTTTGAGCTTCTGCAGTGAGGGCCTGGGCGGTCACCTGGCTGAGCTGAAGGCTCCTGAACAACCTTCTCCCTCTCTAGGGAGCCCTGGGCTGTGTGGCTCAGTGGGTTGAAGGTCGTCCTGTGCACTGAAAGGTCACCGGTTTGATTCCCAGTCAGGGCACATGCCCAGGTTGCAGCTCAGTCCCTGGTCTGGGTGCGTGCAGGAGGCAGCCGATCGATGATTCTCTCTAAAATCAATAAAGACAGTATATATTTAAAAAAAGGAAATGCAGGAGAGCATGAGAAGCAAGAGGAGTCTTTGGGTTTATCTGTCTATTTTTTCTGTAGTTGTGTACACTCTGTTCCCAACAGCTATTTTGAATGCACCCTGTGTACACACTGCAAGAGGGAGGCGTCGGTAGAAATAAAGAACATGGGAGAACGTCAGGATGGAACGGGGGCAGAACGGGAGGGGCAGGGGCTATCCTTGCAGGGTCTGGGCAGGAGCAGGAGGTGGCAGGGGGAGGCCAGGGGGCCTGTTCCATGTTTTCTCCTGTCTCTGGACACGCAGATCCTGGTCTGGCACACGCGGACGGAGAAGCCCGTGCTGGTGAACGAGGGCAAAAAGGGCTTCACAGACCCCACGGTGGAGATCTGAGCCCCGGGACGCAGGTACGGCGGCCGAGGGCCGCGGCGCATGGGGCAGGCCCATACCCGGCGTGGACCCAGAATCCATCTGCCAAGACTTCCTCTCGGTCTTCCATTGTGGGAGGACAGGGAAATGCCAGCATGAGGGGAAGAGGCAGAGCTGGCGTCCCCTTGCCCTCTCCTTCCCTTCCCCTTCCCCTCCCCCTTGCCCTGTCTGGAAATTAGCGAGAGCCAGCCCACAGCTGGGCCCTCTCGCCACCCTTGGGGGGCCTCTCCTTCCAGACGTTGCCTGGTCACCACCATTATTCTGGCCATGACACCTGTCCCACCGCAGGCACTGCCGTGTGCTCGCTCCAGGCTCTTTCCGTGGATTCCTCTTTGCCGCCGTGACGAGGACCCTCACTCACTGCCTCCCCCTCATCGCGCATGCCCATGTGTCCCCCAGTCGTGACCGTGGGGGGGTGCCGTGGTGAAACTGTGGGCCCAGAGCCTGGTTTAGCTCCTGGCCTACCACTTTCACGGTTTCACCTTCCTTGCTCTAGGCTTCTGTTTCTGCATCTGTAAAATGGGTTGTTGGGGGCCCCAAGAACAGACTCCGGCACGTTCTACGTCCTCTGTAGGCGGTGCTGTTGCTATTTCCGTCTTTAAAGTCCTCTATGGACGTGGGCCTCGGGGTCTGCCTACATTTTAGAGGCAAAGGGATGATGTTCAGGAAAAGCTCCATGAGATGAATTGGGCCGGGTGACTGGTCACGCCAGGAACTTCCTCTGGGCATGTATTTCTAGAACAGTGGTTCTCAACCTTCTGGCCCTTTAAATACAGTTCCTCATGTTGTGACCCAACCATAAAATTATTTTCGTGGCTACTGGGTCACGCCAGGAACTTCCTCTGGGCGTGTGTTTCTAGGATGTCATCCCGGAGGCGGGAGCTGACAATGGACACAGCTGGACGCCAGCCCGGAGTTCAGTGTCAGCTTCTGTGTCACGTTTGCAAGTCCCCTGTGCATCGGGGACCCCAGGGTGTCAGTCTGCCTGTTTTGTCCCCCGAACTTAAGACATCATCTGGGCCAGCGCCGCTGAGAGCCATCAGTACAGAGCCCAGCTCCCTGCCTCATCCCAGAGGTGGGAGCTGACAATGGACACAGCTGGACGCCAGCCCGGAGTTCAGTGTCAGCTTCTGTGTCACATTTGCAAGTCCCCTGTGCATCGGGGACCCCAGGGTGTCAGTCTGCCTGTTTTGTCCCCCGAACTTAAGACATCATCTGGGCCAGCGCCGCTGAGAGCCATCAGTACAGAGCCCAGCTCCCTGCCTCCTGCCCTCACGCGCCTCACCGCAAGGGTGCCACCACGGAGGACCTGGCCGCTGGGCCAGGCGGCTTCTCAGTGAGGCCTGTTGGGGGCTAAGGGTTGAGTCGCTTGGCCACACTGGCCGCTCGGACACCCGCCTCACTCATTGCTCCTCCCCCCTTCACAGGAGCCTCTTCTCACACCCTGATCCTGCCTTCCATCCTCTCCCCGTGGCTGACGGTCCTCCAAGGCAAACTCCAAACGAATGGCCATCAGCCTCCTTTCTATCCTGGGGCTTCAGAGAGCCCAGCCTGAGGCCAGGACAAAGGACGGAGAGCCTAAAGCACAGAAATCCCGGACGTGTCGTTCTCTTCCACCAAGCGTGGCAGGGCCCCGCTGCCAGCCCGGCCCCCGCCCTCCTCTCTGGAGGTTCCCGCACCCCAGGCCCGAGTGATACCGGACAGCGGGGCGTCGGAAAAGACTCGGCGGTCACGTGGAGGTGGCCCTCCTGGCTCCCTGCTCCTGGGTCCAGCACGGCCACCCCGGCCAGCCGGCCAGAGGATTCTGAACACCAGACAGCAGGCCCTGCCTGGGCACCAGGAGCACCCGCCCCTCCTCAGAGAGTTGCTCCCAAGTACACGTGTCTCTGTGGCTGTTCGATAGTCCCTGTCTCCAGAGCATAAGTCCATCTTTGATCCCAGCAGCGGTCAGCCCTGCAGGAGGGAGCAGGCCTAACCCCCAGACTCCCCCATACCCCGGGCTGTGGTGGGAGAGGAGCTCCTTCCTCCCCCCAGGCCCCTCAACCCTGCAGCACAGAGAAGCAGATGGGCCTCAAGCCAGCACAGGCCACGGGTTGGCCTGGACCACGACCACATGGGCCCGTCCCCCACGCTGCCACCCCCACGCCCACTGGGCGCCAGGGACCTTTGCCTGGGCCAGGACGGGGAGGGCAGGAGCCCTCTTCCTGAAGCCCTTGAGAGCCACAGACCTCAGGGGCAGGAGAGGTGGGGGCAATTCCAAGCCTCCTTCCTGCCCCTGGTTTGGGGGCAGGAGGGGGACTGCGTTAGCAGAGATATTTCTGGGCAAGAGACCGAGATCATTTGGACACAGAGGGGAAAGGATACCCGAGCACACACGACGTTGGAAATAACTCTATTTTAAATACAACGTGGGAAAGAAAAATCTCCCTTCTCCCCAGGTGGGGAGCCTGCAGAGCGAGCCGCCCGAGAACAGTGCATGCGCTGGCAGCTCCCTCCGCCAGGGGGCGTGTGTGTCCGGCTCTCCCGCCGCCGGACAGGCCCCTGGCTTTCTGGCTGGGGACAGCGCCCTCTGGTGGTGGTCCCACTCCTCATGCTCCTGAAAGTCGGAAGCACAATTTTCCTATTGCGTGGAGGGAAAAGGAAAGGCTTGAGCCTATGGAAGGGGTGTTTATTTTTTAACCGCTAACACTTCATTTAAATTCACAGGACCAGTCTGAGGACCACAAAGAACCCACTCCTGGAGGAGGGGGTCATGGGGGGGAGGGGGGGTATTGGACTTAGTCCAGCAACCTAAACATTCAAAAAAAAAATAGCATCGGTTGCTTGTTTTGAAACAGACGCAATTTTCCACGTAGTCATGAGCCCACCCAATGGGATCTTATCCCTGGGAACCCCGAGCCACCTTGTAGGGCATCCCCCCAACTTCTTACATATTCAATAGTTGCTTTGGAAATCAAGCTCTCGGCATCATGTGGCGTGGGAGAGAAGGGACGAGGTGGGCACAGGTGGCCATCAAATGCGAGAATCCAGGCCCAGGCATTCCACTGCCTCCCCAGCCCTGTGCTCAGGTGAGCTTGGCTGGTCTACGGCTACCTTCTCAGCCAAAAACAAAACAAACAAACAAGATAAAACACCAAAAAACCCCAGAAACAACCCAGGGTTCATCTTCAGGAAATTGATACTGAACAAAACGAGGCATTTTCTCTTGCTCCCTCTCCTGTATTACTTTGTCTGGCAGGCGCGAGTTGTTTTCGCCCCATGTCCTCTAGTACAGTGGGGCCTTGACTTACGAGTTTCATTCGTCCCGTGACAGAGCTCGTAACTCAAATTACTCGTATGTCAAATCAAAAAGTGAACGAGTGAGACATGTGATGCTGGGCTGATGTTGTGGCGTTCACTGTGACGTTCGCTGCGCCAACTAGCGGTGGGGTATCTGAAGCTGGCTCGTAACCCGAATTGTAGCTCGCAACTCAAAGCAAAAAATCGGCCGAGAGACGGCTGGTATCTCGAAAAACTCGTTATAGTCGGGACACTCGTAAGTCAAGGCCCCACTGTAGCTGCATGTGGGTTTATTTATCACTGTAGTCCTGGAGGACTGCAGCTTCCTTCTTTGCTGGGGATGAGTTTGTGATCGATCAGAATGTGGTCCAGGACTATACCGTTTGCTTTCCAAACTTCCCACCACAGAGGCGTGACGCTGGGGGCTGGGCGTCCCCAACAGAGATGGTGGAGGGCGGGGCCCGGGGCAGCCGCACCCTCGGGTCTGTTTTCATTAACTGTCTTTCATCTGTTTTTAAAATTAAAAGTCAGATATGGTTTTTAACATCCCTAATCCTCCTCGGCCCGGCTTGATTGCGTTCCCCTGGATTGCTTGAACCCTCCACCAAATGTGTATCTGCCAGGTGCCTACAACGAGCTGCATTATTCCAGGAGCCAGCACCAGTCTTCACAGAGGTCCCCTCCTCACGAGGGGACGCGGGTGGACAGCAGACAGATCGATAGCATTTCAGATGCGATCTGGTCTGAGGACAAGCACGAGGCTGAGTGGGGGGCACAGAGGGTCGCTGTGGGGGGAGACCTGAACCCCACACAGGGTGGTCAGAAAGGCCCCCCAGATAAGGCGACATCTGAGCAGAAGAGCAGCATGCAGACGTGCCATTGTCTGGCCAGAGCCTTCCAGAACAGAGACCTCTGTCCCTGGTAGGAGAGAGCTTAGCAAGTTAAAAACCAGCAACAAAGCCAATGGACTGAAACCGACGGGAAAAGGTGGGAGGGGTCGGTGGTGGGAGATGGGACAGGCAGGACGTGTTGGTTGGTTCTGGGGACCAGGGTGATGTTTTGGCTTCTACTGTGAGTGAAGAGGGAAGCCACTGGAGGGTTTGGAGCAGAGGACAGACATGGCCTAATGGCCTTTTAGAAGAATCACTCCATGTCTGGGCTGACGAGAAGCAGAGAAGTGAGGGCGGGCTGGGGGAGGCTCGGCAATGAGCCGGGTCCAGGGGCTGGTGAGCTGGAGGAAAGTGCCAGCAGTGGGGTGGAGGGTAGTTCGGTTCTGGGGGTGTTTGCGAGGGACAGCCAATCAGGAGGTGGTGGTGAGGAGTCAGTGCGGATGCTGAGTGCCGGCTGGGTTGCGTGCCCCTGTGCCCGGCTGCACGCTGCCTTTGCCTCCAACTGACAGCAGCACAGACGGGGTCAGAGAACTACCACCACCGAGGGTTCAACTCTACTGCTTTATTGCAACTCATGACAGCGAGCCCGGCCCCAGAACAAGTGCCTGCATTGCGGACAGACAGACAACTGCGAGGAAGCCTGCCTCTCCTCCCTGCAGCTTCGTCACAGGAGGCGATGGGGGGGAGACTGAGCCGGCGGCAAGGTCTGCGCGAGGCCTGGTACCCAACGTCCTGAGAGACGACCCTCATCCCCCCTCGCCCCCCCCCCTGCAACGCCCTGGAGCTGGGCCCTCTGCCCTTTCCCCCTGTGCCTCCGAGAGGGGTGGGTTCCTGCTGGGACCCACAGTCCCCTCCTGTCACTGAGTGAAACGGGACCTGCTCCCCGTTTCAGGAGAACAAGGGACTGAGATGTCTGTTTCTCTTCAGCCAGGCTTGCCATCCTGTCGGATGCGCTCACAGTGGGAAGGAAGAAAGGAAACGTGTGTGTCTCAAACGGGGTTCCTTCCAGGACCCCAGGGAAGGCGCGGGGAGGGCTGCGAAGAAACAACCGCCACCCTGGCTGGTGTGGCTCCGTGGATAGAGCGTCGGCCTGCGGACTGAAGGGTCCCCGGTTCGATTCTGGTCAAGGGCATATGCCCGGGATGCAGGCTCAATCCCCAGTAGGGGGTGTGCAGGAGGCAGCCCATCAATGATTCTCTCATCATTGATGTTTCTCTCTCTCTCCCTCTCTCTGAAATCAATAAAAATATTTTTTAAGAAAAAAGAAACAATAATCGACTCAGGAGAGACACCTCTTCACTATCCTCTATCAATGGGGCCAAGGCCTCTATTTCAGAAACAGAAAGGGGCCCTGAGGGATGGGCCCGGCCAGGCCAGCGGCGAGAACGTCTGCAGGGCACAGCTGGGTGCAGCAGCCACGCCCAGCAGCCAGGCCTTCCCCAGGCCCAGGTGTCACCACAGGGAGACCCGACCAGACACTCTCACCCCAGACATCCATCCCTCTGCCCTCTCCCCGGAGAGAGGGAGTAGGGCAGTGCCATCCACAGAGCCCAGTCTAGAACCGCCTCAGATGAGAAGGGCGTCCCCCCTGACCAGCCCCCCCCCACTTCTTCAGCAGGTTCGGGCTCTTGAACCACAGCAGTGGGCATAGGTACGGCCCTCGGCTCCCGGAGGAAACGCTCCCAATGGGCTCCCCCGCCATGAGCTTGGGGGGCAGCCCATCAGGCCTCCAGGCAGCCGTGAGGACGGGCGCCCCCCGCTTCCCGCCACACGGCTCAGTGAATGTACTGGTTCCTGCCCAGGTGGGGTGTCTCGGTGAACTGTATCACAGGGCCTGCCGCCCTCTCCTCGAAAACAATGACCTGGGGAGAGAAGCGCTGGGGTGGCAGCAGCCGGGTGTGTCTTGGAGCCGGACAGTGAGCCTGAGGGAAGGGGCTGGGAACTGGGAGGAAGGAACAGGGGCCCGCAACTCACCAGCGCCAGGAGGAGCCGAGAGGGAGCTGGCCAGAACTCTCCCTCTCCGGCCCTAACCGACTGTGGCAAGGGCCTCCCTCCCCGGGGAGCACGGTGATACCAGGAGGCGGGAGTGGGAAAGGGCCTGGGAAGAAGGGAAGGGGCTGCAAGTGCTCCCACCTGGTTGATGCCCTGGTCCAACCAGGCCCCTGGGAGGTAGAGTGTCTCCTGCGGCCCGATGTTCCAGTAGCGCCCCAGGTTTTGGCCGTTGATGAAGACAACCCCCTTCTCCCAGCCCTTTGAGCAGAGCGAGTGTGAGTCAGCCGCAGAGCCGGCACAGGGAAACCCCCAGGAGGGCAGACACGCTCTGGGTTCCTCTCTCGGCTTCCGAACGGCCAATGTGACAGCCAGGAGATGACCAGGCAGGGTGCCCCATCTCTCCGTCCCAATAGCCCTGACTTCCCACCCCGGACGGAGGAACCTGGGCCCTGAGAAGTCCCACAGGGCGACCCCTCTGCTGGGGGCCCACTCGCTCCCTCCCCGGGGAGGCCAGGCCCTTGCAGAGGGGGCTGCCCAAAGCTGGACGGTCCAGGCGCAGGTGAGAGAGGGCGAGGCCTTGTGGGGAGCAGCCCCTCCTCCGGGCTCGGGCTCAGAGCAGCTGAGGACGGACCAGAACCTGGGCCGGGGGCGGCTACGAACCTCCAGCTTCATGAAGGTGTCCAAGGGGGAAAGGGCCACAGGCAAGGCGCCCAGGAAGAAAGCGGGGAACACAGGTGTTTCGGGGACCAGGTTCCACGCGCTGGAGCTGAATCTATGGACAGAACAGTAGACAAGGAAGCGAGGAGTGTACCTTCTCAGATCCGGGCCCCACCCCGCATCCCATTGCAAAGGCGCCGGTCCACGGGTCCCAGGAATGGCAGCGGGTGGTTCTGTGGAAATGCCCTCGTCTCCAGGGCGGGCACTGCCCCACCTGGGCACGTGGCAGGGCCCTGGTCTGCTCACAGCTGAGCGAGAGGAGGGGTGAGGCCGGAGCAGCTCCCGGGCCGCCGGCTCTCTCTGCACGTCCTCTGGGAGCCCACACTCCGCCCTCGGCTGGGACCTACCTCTGAAAGAAGCTCTTTTTCATGTCCAGGCTGTAGATTCTGAAGTTTTTCAGGGGAGAATTATTCAGGTAGATATTTCCAATTAAGCCTGTGGGACGGAGGCAGGGAGGGTGAGACACACCCGGCCTGGCCTCTGCCAGCCTCACCCACGGGCAGTGTCTGGGAAGTTCAAGGTTTCTCCTGAAGTGCATGCCCCCAACGGGGCAGCAAACCTCCCCCATAAAGCGCTGAGGGGCTGAGAATGAGTAACCCCGTGCCTGCCAGGCCCCGGGACGTGCGTGAGAGAACAGGCCGAGGGCAATGACAGAGCTGAGAGGATCCAGCTCAGTGCTCACTGTGTATTCACCACAGGCACGTGGACGGCACACACAGGGAAGGCTAACAGGGAAGAGGTCAGGACCCAGGGGGCCTTTCAGAACCACCTCCACCTCACTGCAGTGGCCTCCCTGGCCCCCCTTCAATGGCTCCCCATGACCCCCTCCCTCCAATGGCTCCCCATAACCCCTATCCCTCCAATGGCTCCCCATGACCCCCCCTCCCTCC